AAGACTCAAAGACAACAAACTTTGCAGCAGTGTTCCATGAATTATATTATGGCACACTGCTTTGAGTGCAGTAAGCTTTGGTCAGGCCCTGAGGGTCAAAAACCATCTGAAATAAGTATCTAAATCACCACTGTGTGCGATAAATTGTGAGGATGCAGAGAAATCCATTCCACTTTTTAGATATGTCTTCCATAGATAGGCGAATATATGGGGACGATTGAAATCACTTCCGGACAGAACCAGCACTAAAAAAACTTTCTCCACAATACATAACGACTTTTCATTTTACCATTATACTTTATAAAGTATATATAATACAATGTACAGGGTAAGGTCAAAACCTGGAATATTATGCAATGACAAATTGAACAGTATATTGCTCAAAGAGAGTGCCCCAAATGATCAATAACTGACAGGTCTGTGTTGGGGAAAGCCTACTCAAAAGGATTTACCCAAATGGAAGCATTTTTTCCCCATTCTCAAATGAGTAACTATTGCTCCTTGCCCACTTTGATTTATGGGTAAACTTACCACGTTCATCCATCTCCTTTATAATTATAATGACAGAATCTCTTACTTCCTCTCCTTTTCTTTATTTTTCTATTCAAAACCACAGACTTCTATGAACATACTATGGACTTACTAAACAAGGGACTGTGCATCACGTGACTTTCGCCACACTCGCAAGATGGCTGCCTCTTGTGTAAACAGTTGGGCATGATCGTACTGCTAGACGTGACCTGATTCAGCCAGCGTATGAAATTTTAGTGCGGGAGTTTCGATTGCATTTTGTTTCAACATGGTTCAGAACTGTTGTGGTGAACTGCAGCAACAGAAGTTCAAAGGGATGCACAGTTTCTTTTCATGGGTAAGCATATTTATTAGACTAGATTTTTACAATTGCTATCGTTACTCAGCCAATGACAACAAGGAATGAGTGAAAAGCTGGGATTGTATTCAGACTTTGTAAGTGTTAAAACCTTCTTTTCTCTGTCTTCACATAGCACAAACATGCTCCCCTTTCACTCAGTAATTAACAAAGCAAGCAAAAGAACACACAATTTATAATTTTATCTATTCTTCGAGATCTATTATAGCCTACAGAATACCCATATATTTATAAATTATAATCTATGTCTCATTCACTAGACTTCCTTCCTTCTAGGAAATTTAATTAAGAGTACATTACAGTAAAACAACTTCTGTTTTACCCCGCATGGGACGTTTCAGACATTATTATAGGCTGCACAAATATGTTTTAGGGAAACACCTCCCAAAACATCAGTCATGAGTCATATATCAGGTTCTTTCTTCTCCTTTTTTTATACATGTGTATTTTACCTTTAACAGACTGTAGATCTAGAAAAGGACCCGAGACAATAATAATGTATAACAGTGCATAAACTTTCATTAGTAGAGACTGATGGTTAGGTCTAGTAACACGATTTCATTGGTTGGGAAACAATAAATTATTTTTCTTGAGTCTAGATTTAGTGTGTGCGTTTCAGCACTATGCTAGCCAGGTCAGAGGGGCACTTTGCCCAACTGTTCTGAATAACTGAATTACGGCTCGTCCCACTGCCACCGGCGGAGGCCAGGCGGCTAAGCCAGTGAGCCGCCACTGCGCGCGGTCCTCTCGTTTAGTAAGTCCATGGAATATATTATGAAGTCTGCTTTTTCTTATAGACTTTCAAAATGAGAAACAAAATGATGTAGCCTCAACATATTACTTACAAAATCTAGCTAATTTTGAAGGCAGGACATGAGTAAGCTATACATTTGGATTGAGAAAGACAGACAATAGATCTAAATTTAGTACTGTTAACACAAACCTTGAGTGGGGGATGGGAATTTTTTTAGTGTACAAATTTGGAATTCAAAGAAATTGAGGATCTTCCAAGGCCAGCCTGAGAGGGTGAAATAATAGACGGATGCTTCTGTTATCCATAAAGAATAGCTACATTCTTTCACTTTCGTGCATCTGAAAATGTCTGGTCTTTTCGACACGGGTAAGCTGAAAAGAGTGTAATATATGATACATAGTTGAACAGCAGTTTACAACAAGTCAATTTGATAATAGTCATGTTTTTTAAGAGAGTTGAATGAAGAAAAAAGTTACAGCAACACACTTAACACACGCAATGGGAGAAGACCAAGCCAAAGAGCTTCCACTAATCACCTGAACGAGTTTATACAGTCATAGTTAAAACAAGTCATAGCATTCACTTTTCAAAACCCAAATGATTGTAAATGTTTTGTCCTAATCGACACAAAGAGGCAGGTTGCTTTCACCTTGCCTGTCAAGGCCAACCCCTGCTGAGTGGGACACAGCATCCCAGTAGATACTTCAACAAACTGACTTCCCTTTATGAGACTTCAACTCACATATTTTACGAGCAGTGGCAAAGTCATACTGTTACACCACAGAACATGGTATTTTAGAAACCACAAAGACTAATAAGGTAATAATTACATGATATACAGTTAGAAAATTCAAGATGCGATATCCAGTCAGCCAGCAAAGGATCTAGAAAAGAAAAGTCTGGGAAGGCGCAGGGAAATAACCTAAAAAAACTGTAGTGTTCGGAAAGTGTCCAAAAATATTTGTAAAATCTTAAGACGACAAAGACCTCTAGCAGCAGGTATCGACAAGCCACAACCTAGGCTGACAAGAGACATTTGATGGATCAAAGAAAGGAAAACTCCACTATCTGGCGGCCAAAACCCCAGGACACATAAGTGTCTCTTCCTGTACAATAAATTATTTATAAATTTAGTATAGACAACACCTCAATGTAAATGTTAATTGTTAACTCTTTTTATCCTAGCCGTACCCTCACGGACTCTGTACTAGTCCTGGGGCCGCCGCGCCGTATGAGTCGGAAGTCAGTACGTATAGTTGAAAGTGCTGTATATTTCTTACTTTTACTCTAAGGTTTTAAGGAAATTTGGCAGTTATGTTGGAAATTGAATGCAGTTTTTGTAAATGTATGTGGTTAGGGATTACACCAATTGCACAATGTAGATTTTGAGGTGTATTCCACCCTCCAATTTGACCCTGATTGCTGCACCCACGACGTCCCATTGGATTTTATAGATCAAGATCTACAAATCGAGCTCGAATTCCAGTACTGACCCCTTCACCATGATCCGATCGCTATTAGATGAGTCTATGTCCTGTTTGTTATCATCCACAACGGAATTTACGGCACTTATTTCAGAGCCACTTTCATCAAATTAGTATCATTCCCCCTCACAATCCAGCGCCACTTCAAAAAGTACTTCGTCGGTTGTGAATGTGCGTTTTCGAGACATCTTTCAAGCTTCTACACCCACCAAAAACAAAGAAACCACTGTTCATCGGAAAATTAAAATATTCAGACAGCTAGCATTGCCGTATTTGCGTATTTTGGTAATTACAAGCAGAACTAGCTTCTTTGATGTGACCGTATCGCTGTTCCGAGAATACTCGTAGCCCGGACTGGTCCTCGTTATGAGTATACTCATAGCCCAGATAAAAAGAGTTAAAGTACATCACCCTTTACTTTTTCTTCTCACCTAAGGAACATAGAGAAAACAGGATACTGTTGGACAGCAAACACCAGTGAGCCACAGTGGGATAGGAGACTTTTGAATGAAAGACTGGCCAGTGAAATTCGGGACATTTGTAAGCTCTGCACAACCAGCTCAAAATCAGAAACAATTACAATTAAACTTGGGAGCTTG